AGAGCTGACTCCATTGGTGGGAAAATACAAAGTACTTCTCAGAATAGGAAAGTGACATGATTGAATGATGATGAATGGGAAGATTTTGGCTGAAAGAGAGGAGAAATCATTAGAGTAGTCCAAACATGGGCATTTGGCACAAACCCTCACTTCCCTGGTGATCTTGGGCAAATTCCTTTACTTCAGGACATCAGTTCCATCATCTGAAAAATGGGGATGGTAGAACCCCATCATGGAGTAACTGTGAGGATCAAGCAGGTAATAAGTGCTCAAAGAATAGAAATGCTTCTGTTGTTGTCTATACTGAGACCAGAATTCTTCCAGCTGTACAATGCATGCAGGATCGCAATTAGTTTCTTCCTCAGTAAAATAAGCATGCTAATCTCTGCTACTCGCCCCCATGAGAAGTGGCCTGTTCATCTCTGCAAATTGCCTCCTTGTTTCACTGTCCCAGTTAGCTGAGACAGAGGTTGGCTGGGACTGATGTGCCATTCAGTTAGAGAAACAGGGCCTGCTTACTGCCCTTCTCTCCCCTTTTGTTACTTGGTCCGGTGCTCCGTGACAAGTGGGAGGCAGGGAAAGAAAGGAATGCTCCAGAGATGACCTGTTGCTCTCATCTCTTCCTGATCCATTTATGTCTGAGAGGAACATTTGCCCTTGGCTACGTGCTGTTTCCCTTTCTGAGTCATGTCTCTTCCTTTCTCTTGTCACTCTCCACCCCTACCTTTTCCTATAAAGGCAAAATGACTTCTCCAGCCGTGCAGCCAAACTGAGTGACCTAACTTGCCCAAGTGCAGGCAGATAGGTGTCCCTGTCCTATTTTTGGGTAATTGTTGAAGTGGTGTCCTGTGATTTCTCTGACTGCTCTGTGGTTTCCTTTCTTTTGCCACAGACACACAGCAGCAGTCAAGAGCAGAGCAGGGCAAGCTGAAAGACACACAGGTAGTCACAGTTAGCTCTGTTCTCATTTTCAGTTTTGCTCGCTGCACTGTCTTAAGGGTACATGGTTCCTGACGAGTCCTATACCCCCTCCTAGGGTGTTTTTCATTGAGTAAGATAAAAGCAATTCTCCTTTGTGAGACAAAGAAGTCTTTTGCTGACTTCAACTTGCTCCACCCCAGTTCATCTCCACTGACCCCTGCTCTAGGAATTTGAGGTAGGAGAGGGGTCTGAGTGTAAAATTGAAGGGCAAAGTTCATGCCATTGGAGCCTCCTGTTTTCTCTTCTCTGTCCCTGTCTTCTTCTTGGTGGCATCTTTAATCTGTGTATGGCACTCCATGTGGTTCTCAGGGTCTCCCTACACACAGGTCCCTTTTACAAAGTTCAATTTCTCCTTTTGACAATAAAGTAAAAGATGATTGCTAATCATTGAAATGTGACTCACACCAGGGTATTTTTCACTTAAAAAGCATCAACATGTAAGATTACTGTGGTAGCATTTCAGATATAATCCAAAGGAAGAAGCTAGAGAGTGTATACAAAAATGAATTAAAAACACAAGGGGAGACTTCTTTTGCTCATTTTGCTATTTGGGGAGTGAACAGAAAAAAGACATTGCAATGAGTAGATTGTAGGAGTCTTATAGGCTGAATATATCTCTGCTTTGTCAGCTCTGCTCACCATCCTATACATATACATCTTTAAGGGAGAAAATATACCAAATACTGATTTGTGATAAATCACAGTAAATGTGATAACTTTTCATTGCAGTTCTCCTTATGCCTTTTTCTCATTTTCTTAAAATAATATGTAACTCTGTAAAAATTTTGTAAACTCTTGTCTTATACAAATATTCTACAATGATAAAATTACAAGTGAAAGAAATGGAGCCAGTATTTGTACAATTTCTCCACCACTATTTCATTTGTCCTAGATTAAAATGAAACAATGTAAGGACTGTGTTTTCTAAAATGTAAAACTTTATAGAAATAATGCTTGAGTATTACATATTGCAAAGTGGGAAATATGACAGTAAAAGAAATACCAACATTCTATAAAGTGTGAAAATATGTTTCCAAACAAATTTCTAAGTGCCAGAGTTTCCTATCTCTGAAGATTTGAAAGTAAGTTTTACGTAAGAGAATGGAAACTAAAGGCAGGCATACCCAGGGGATGAAATGTACCTGATACACCTTATATAAATTTAAGTTTTCCCAAGTCAGTGAGTGACTCATGAGTGAGAAAATAACAAGAAAAACATTGAAATCAGTACATATTCAAACTCCTTTTGCAAAAGGAAGAGGAGTAAAGTTAGGAGTACAATTCTTAGCCCTAGTTTTGTAATCATTCCAAGTTTTCTTCAGTTATTTATTTATGTAGTCTTTCAACAGAAAATATTGATTGAGCTTACTAAGTACTGGGCACCATTTCAGGATCCCAGGAAAATAAAGATGAAGTTATATTTTGGGATTTTCAAAACTTAACTAGCAGTCTATCGGGGTTTAGTAAACAGGGTTAGTTTTACAGGGTGGTAAGTGATAATAGAGGTTTGTATAAGATTTTATATGAAGGTACACAAAAGGCATTTAATTCAGAGGAGCTCTGGAAATAGGGGCTGGGGCTGTGAAAGGAGGAATTGCTAGTGTGCAAGAGAGGGTAGGGTTATAAGGAACTAGCACAGGGGTTTCAATAAGGCTATTGAACATCACTAAAGGTGACAATGGGGCCATAGTGAAAGACTTCTATATGTTGCTCAAGACTTTGGATGACCATTCTAAGGGTAATCTTAAGCAAGGAAATGACATGGCAGTTGATATAATCACTTTTTAAAAAAGAGAAAAAAGAAAAAGAGGCTGGCAGAATGGCTCAGCAGTAAAAGTACCTGCCTAGCATGTATAAGCCTTGAGTTCAGGCACCAGTGCCACCAAAAAAAGTAAAATAAGATAACATGGGGTGGGAGGAATAAAGGAGAATGGTGGAGGGAGTAAATTCAAGTATGATACATTTGATATATAGTAAGAACCCCTAACCAGCACAATGAAATAAAATAAAAAATAACATGCAGCATGCAAAAAGAAAGAAAGAAAGAAAGAAAGAAAAAGTGTTGGGAGATCATAATGAAGGAAGGGAGTGAGGCCAGTTGGGAGACTGGCAAATAGTAAGACTGAAGATGAAAATAGTGACAAGGATTAGTAGTTAGCAGTTTGCTTTTTGTTGCTGTAGCAAAATGTCTGAGATAATCAACTTAAAGGTGGGAAGACTTATTTTGGTTCAGAGGTTTCAGTTGTTGGCTACTTGGTGCTGTTGCCTTTGGGCCTGTGGTGTGGCAGAACATCATGGTGGAAAGCATGTGGTAGAGGAAACTGTTCAACTTATGGCAGTCAGAAACAAAAAGGGAGAGAAAGGAAAGGGCTGTGATCCTAGGTTTTCTTTCATACCCCCAATGGCCTTTCTACAAGTAGGCCAGAAGTCCTAAAGCTTCCACCACCTCCCAACAGCATGATAAGCCTTTAGCATCTGAGTCTTTGGAGGACATTCTTAAGTCCCAAAGTGCAGGCTTTGCATGTGGTTCAGTGATAGAATCCTTGCTAGTATGCACAAGGCCTTGGATTCACTCCCCAGCAAAACAAAAAAGAAAGAAACTGAGTCAAAATAGTGGTATAGCAGTAATTTTGGGTAGAAAAATCTTCAAATAAATTAGTCCTTATTAACTTAAAACATTGAGTAACATAACATTTGAACTGATGAAAAAAAAAACCCCTAGGCATTCCAGTCACAAAGAATCAAAGTAACAGACAAAGTGTAACAATCAATAGAAAAGTGAAAAGTGCATCCTTTATTTAACATATTTATCATTTGTCAACCCTGTAATTGACAGGAAATTCACTGATTTTTTTTTTTTTAAGTTTCTGCACTGGACAGCTAGATTGGTTAGAAGAGCCTTGGGCAAATCTTTACCCTACTATAATTATAGAAAACAATGACATGGGGCCCTCTCAAGAGATCATTTAGTACAGTGCTTTCACCAGCGATGAGAAAGTGCTTTTATGAGAGGTTAAACCATGTGCAGGAGGCAACACACCTCAGTACCTGCAATGCTGAGGCTGGAATCTGGATGCCTGGCATCCATCACAGGGCTGTTCTCACTACAACCCAGCAACTTCCCAAGAAAGGCACTGAAATATACTAATGGCATATGGGTGACTTTAAAAAGAAAGACTTTTAAAGTTCTTTGAAGCTGTAGAGAACATTTTAAAAAGCTAAATACCTACTTTATTATTAGAGGTTGGTCATTTTCCCAAATTGACCACAAGAAAAAGCTATGCCAATATCAGCAAATACTCTTCACATACTTGCTTTCCAAAAATAATTTTGGATTTTACACTGGCTTCATGGTACATGTATCTAAAGTACATGTGATTTATATTGCTATTGGTTTCATATTTAAAAAATTAGAAACAGAAATTTCAGTCCATTTAGCATTAGCAAGAAGATACTTTATAAAGAAGATGAAGTATGGGTGGGTTTGTGAACAAGCTACTTCCTACTGTTCATCAACTGATAGAAAAATTTATGTGGAACCTCTGAAAGTGTTGGAAAAACAAAGAATTACATTACTTAAATTCATGATTTTTTTGAAACAAGTACATTTCTGAATAAGATTAACATGTATTTATTACTTATTTTGAGTTTTTCATAAGTTAAACTTAGTTTGAAAAGATTCTTATTAATCAGTTTAATATTTAATATAATAAAAGCAACAGTCAGAATAAAATATAATAAAAGCAATGGACACAGTAGCAAGTTTTTGCAATGTTTATTCTAGATACTGAGGAAGGAAGACTTTTTGTCTTCTACTTCCTCCTGTCCCAAATTTTAAAAATATTTGCATAATGAAAACTTTACTCTCTTTATCCAATATTTAAGTCTTTGAAATAATTCATGAAAAAACTCATTCTGAACGTAATCAATACTATTCAGAAATAAGGAAATCATGCATATTAGAAGTTAATATGCACAGTTATATAACTGTGTGTATTTTGGCTTTAAAATTTGCCAATAACTATTTGAAAAGATCAAAGCATATCATTTATTAAAATAGATATTTTATTAATCAAATATTTTTGGCTAATCATATCTAAATGTTTAAAACTATATTTTTGGCAATACTGGGGTTTGAATTCAGAGTTTTGTGTTTGCTAGGTAGGTGCTCTACCACTTGAGCTACTCTGCCAGCCCTTTAAAGACATTTTAAACACAAAGAATAACTATAAACTCATGAGACTGATTGGCCTTTTAAACAAATACAATAAAATCTATATAGCCAAATGGTGGCAATGTTTTAAGGTAATGATCATGTCTTTTAAAGGATGCTACAAAGTCCTAAGGCAGTCTTGGAATATCCCTTTTACAACTACCTTCCGAAGGATATTAGTTTCATAATTTAATTATTCTCTTGACTTTGTTCCCAATGGTATTCTAGTTCAATCATGTTTTATTTTATATCCACAAAAACTGGCAATTTTGAAAAACTGTATTAATCTGCATTGAATTAAGATTTTTGTTAGAAGGATATTCAAAGAAATGTTAATTCAGGTTCTGATATTATTTCTGAAATTTGAACACTAAGGTTTATAAATTGTAGTAACTACTCACACTATAGACTTTTTTTTATGTGCCTATCATGTTGCAATAATGAGATTTTTAAAGCAATGGTAACCTGTAAAACTAAAATAGGACTTTATACCTCAAAAAAGATAGTTAGCTTTATATTTTCTTATAAAATACATATTAGAGAACATTTAAGTTTGTAGCCATTAGTTGTTAATGTATGCATGTAGCCCAGTATCATGGACCCTCAAAATTGAAAGCTCTCCTTTAAATATTACTACATTAATCATTGTAGTAAAAATTGTCCTTAAGTGTCAGAAATAGCCTTTATCAAAAATGTTATTAAATAGCACCAATATTACCTAAAAGTAAAGTGAAACATTCATAGGAATGTAAAATACAGATTCAATTTCTAACTGCAAAAGAGAAAGAATCTTCTAGACAAAATTGCAACTAGATATTAATTATCTTGGTAACATAGCTAAATAAATATCAGCCATAAAACATTTCAGGATTTTGGTTGAAAAACTTAGAAATGAAAGCCTCATATACCACTCTTCTACATTCTGTGCCCAAAGAAGCTATATAAATGCAATCTTACCAATGAAGTTACCTTGTGGGCAATACATTTAGTTATTCTATACATTAGTTCAACAAGATAACAAATATAATAAAATCCTTTAAAGCAATCTGATTAGGGCAACATTTATATTAAGTGCAAAATATACAGTAAAATGAAACATCTTGTTAAATAGACCTGTGGGTTAACAATATCTTAAAGAAACACATTTTGACGATCTATTTTCACATTTATTTCATCACTGTGTACTTTTGTTATGCAATTTCTAGGATCTTTGTAGTTCTATATTTAGGTATCCTTATGATCATACCTTTACAAGTAATTTTGAAAGTATTACTCCCAGAGTAAAAGAAAACAAGAAATTCTATACTGTTATGAGCAGTAGTGCACAAAACTATTGTAGTATTTTGAAGGACCTGTCCTTTGATCATTATTAATTCATCAGTTTAAAATATATACCTTTGTACTGAAGTCAAAACTGTCTGCCTTTAATATTAAGTGTTGACAACCTGCTGTACAATTTTGGTTATAAAATAAAATATCAAATCCTTGGCTATTATTGGAAAAGTATTATTTGAAAAGATCTGCCAATATACATTTCTAAATGTGAATGCCCATCTTAATAGTTTTCTTAATTAGAACAGTTGAGAAATGAACAGAACAGTAGTGCTTTTATGTCACAACAACAAGGAAGTATTACAGTTTCCAAAGTCTCCAGATCCAGGGTTTAAGTGTTCAGTCGTGGCTCAGTTGGAAGCTGACAGAAGAGAAGCTTCGCCCCATGCTTGTACACAATGGGGCAATGACAACATCTGTCACACTCTTCCATATTGTCTGCACTGAAGGCAGGACCATCAGACAGGTCTTTACAAAAGGCATTAAAATCCTGGAATGGAGGAAAAAGAATGTATGATTGTTGCTGTTATCAAGTAAGGCTACTGACTCTTGTAAATATTTTATATGTGCATACATATATAACATATATAAAAATACATATATAAATAAAGTCTTTTGAGGGGTTTTTGTAATTGTTTTCATTATATATTCTGACTTTAAAGTAGGTCTATTTTTATTACTCATTATATGAGAGTATCCTATGGACACTCAGGAAGAGAATCATAATAAGTGTTATCCCTGATAACCAGAAAAGATATAATAATGACTTAATTCACTTAGATTTGATTGAACATTTCAAAACAAACAAATGGGCAATGGCCAGAGTGGTAAGAGGTACAAAAGATGTGTTAGGTAAAAAATAAACAAGCATATTGATGATAAATACTAACATTCTTTGTAGTGGGGGAATGCTATTGGAAAGAGTAAGATAAAAGTAAACAAAGTGTATTTATCTACTTGATCTCTGCCCCTAAACATTAACCAGCCTAATTCTTCACATCTCCCTAAAGCTCTACTTCCTGGTTGCTTTCCTGTTGCCTCACCCCACTTCCTTCCCCCTGAACCAGGCTGGGTTGTGCTTCTAAATTACTGAAAAAAACTTCTTAATTTTCAAAAAAAAAAATCATAAATAGATGCACATATTTCTGTCTTTCCTTCTAGAACATAAATATTTTAGGAAAACTTGAACATTTGTAAATATTTGAGTGGAAATGAGTTTAGTGTTCTATTAAGCTTTATATTGTTAGTTATGCATTATATTAATTGCAATTTATATTAATTTTTATAGTAATTACACACACTGAGAAAAGCTATGTGGTATAGTTAAAGGAGCCCTGCAACTGCAGTTGGAACTCTTAGATAAGAAAAACTAGTCCGTCCTCAAGTTATTTTTTGTAACGCCCATTCTTAAGACAACTATATATTCTTAAATTCTCTAGGCTGGTGAATTTTCTATGTAATCTTCTGAATCATGTTCTCTGTTGTAGTAGTTCTCTTTGAGCACAGAAGTGTTTGTGAATTCTTATGCATTGCTGGTGGTCTCAGTGGAATCTTTACTGTTACATGAGTGGGGACCACGGAGTGAGGTGGATTTTCTTGGTTTGCTATTAAAATGTGACTTAAAGGCCTGTTGCTCATGGTACTGTTTGGTTGGTGTATCCTTAGAATACTGAATTATGAATATTGCCTATCTACAGAGACTATATTTATCTTGTTGTTTGTTCCAAGTGCTAAATATTTGAAGTAATTTTATGAGAAAATTAATTATGGGATATATCAGAGCTAAAACAGCTGAGTAGAAACCTGAATGATGGCAACTTTTGACTTCTTATCTATTACGTTTCTCATTTAATGCTGGCTTTGGGCACACTGCTATAAATTAAAGTGAGAAAAGGAAATCTTATACAGAACTAGTTATCAGGGCTGACACTTATGCATCCTTGAGTTGTCCACAGGATGCTGTCATATAATGAATAGTTAAAAAAAGAAAGATCTATTTTGAAGTCAGAAAGTATAATGAAACTATAACAAAATAACCTTAAATTGATGTACAGCAAGACTGAAGGTTAGATCAGAAAGTTTCTTCACTTACACTTTCTACACTTTCCACTCTTTCTAGACTGAGAAAATTTCTCTCCCCTTAAGTCCTTAGATCTCCATGTCCTAAAACAGACTTAAGTAAGCACTTGACAAAGTTGATTTTCCAGTACATCAAAGTATAGTTACCCATACTTGAGGACGATAGTTCATAGGTATAATTAAATACATTTTAATTTTATTTTCTTTAAGTTGTTATGCTCTCATTTTAGATCAGAGAATCCACTAATCTTTGGATATAAGACTTAAAATGTGTTTTCCTGATTGTATGGCTTCTCTTTTGAAACTACATACAATTTGGAGTAACCCAAAATTGGGTTGAGACTCAATGTGGTCAACCAAACTTTTCTTACATAAAACTTGTATTCTCTAGGATTATACATTCCTCCATTGGATAACTTAGCCCTAGGTAACAGTTTGTTAGCTTTGTATTAACTACAGTGTCATTGCCACAGAGTTTGCTACATTAAAAGTATCTTCTAGAAATGAGATTGCTACCACTGCATTCCCATAAATTGGACCTCTATTTATTTGTGCTGCATCCCAGAAAAAATAGGAGGTACAGATGTTCCAGACACATTTCCTTGGTTATGATCTACTAATGTCCAATAGCCTTATTTGCCAAATGGTGGCTATCTGTGTTTGTGCCATAGAATCAAACGATTCACTGGCTGGTCCCCAATGACCTGTATTTCAAGCTTAGGGTCCAATATCACCAGACTTCTGGCTTTTGTTTCTGTTGTTTATTTGTTTAAAGAATCTAAAAGTGAAATGGCACACATCTGTGGTCCTAGCTACTCAGGAGGCTGATGCAGGGGGATCACCTGAGCTCAGAAGTTCAAGGTCAGCCGAGACAATATAGTAAGATTCCATGTCAAAACAAAAGAAAGGAAAAAAAAAAATCTAAAATCAGATATGTGGTGACATATGTGGTTCAAAATCTCATTACTACATAATTTCTTAGCTTTGGTCACCACCAACTTCTTGGTAAAATAATAAGTACTGTTTAAAAATATAAAACAAATTTAAGAAAAAAAAGAGAAAAACTTTACTCAAATGTGTTTGTTCTTCTATAAGGCCTCCCATTGATCTAATCATATGTCATGGGAATGTAATCCTGTAAATGATTAAGTCTTTTTATCAAGGCATAAACTAACATTTAAGCATTTTTTGTTTGAAATTACTCCTCTATTTACAATTGTGCTGCCTGATGACAAATGTATGACAGTTAAATATTAATGTCCCACATGAATGTAATGTGAAAAATAAGCTGAAGTTAAATAATACATTTTATGTGACTAAAAAAGGAAGAGGTCTGATGATTCATCAATGGAAGCACTGCACAAAACACACCTCCGATTCTCAGGAGAGCCAGGTGGAGAGAGGCAGCATTTGGTTAATTGTAGTATTGCTTATATCCTTCCACCATTTAGTAAATGAAAACTTTCTTTTTCCAATTCTTTCACAAAACCTTAGAGCAAACATAGCTTTGTTTACTACAAACACCATACTCTCTATTTCCAAGTAGCTTCTCTTCACTTGCATTTGACAATGAGCTATGTGTCTGTCAGTCTTTCATATTTTTGAAAGCAAAAAAACCTGACAGAGGTTAAGATGACTGGTTTTAGTAACTAGGAACCCAATTGTATGTGCTGATTTAAGTTTTTCTAAAGAAAAATCAATGTGTGTACAAATATCTGAATGAGATAGTTATATGTCTGTCCTCTGTGTCCTCTGGCACATGCATAAAGACAAAGGTGTTTACTTCTCTGGCAATCTTTCTGCACTTTCAACACAATTGCTTACAACCTTCTTCATATATCCTTTAATTATCTGGTGAATTTTTATTTATTCTATCAAAACCTTTCAGACTTTTTTGGCCCATAGAGCCTTCCCTATTCCTCCCTCTTCCCCATCAGAGTTAACTGTTTTTTCACCATGGACTTTTGTACCTAGTCAGCTGTCCCAAATGCCTAGAGTTACCTGAAGGAGGATCCAAGGTTCATTGCCCAGCATGAATGACGCACTCAATAGATTTAGTTTGTGAAACTAACTAGCTAGCTGACTGACTGAAGAAATTAAGCTAGAGATAGTGAGGAAGAACAGAACAATAACTTTTAACAACGAGCAGTGAGCACATATTGGGGTTGTGACGATGTCATATAAAGTGATCAAGAGTCACACGGAAGCAGCTAGGATTAAACATTTCACCTGGCCTCCCTGAGGCACCAGCTTAATAACTATTGTGGTACTAGGGATGAGTTTTCCTCTCAGAATAAAGGCCTCAAGTCCTCTAGCAAGCCTCTACCATTTGAGCCACACCCTCAGTTCTTTCACTTTTAATTTTCAGATAGGACTAGAAGCTGACTTTTGCCCCTCCTGGCCTCAAACTGAAATCCTGAGAAGCTGGGATTACACATGTGGCCCACCATGCTTGTCTTGTTTTTGAGATAGGGTTTGACTAATTTTTGCCTGCTGGCCTCCAACCATGATCCTCCTGTCTCTGACTTTCAAGTAGCTGGGATTACAGACATGGGCCACAAGTACTAGCCTAAAATGGCTATCCTTTCATATAACTTTAATACAATAAATCTTTTTGGTGGAACATGATGCTTTCCTAAGAAAAATTTTAGTGATTAAAAATGGTCTCCAAATTTTTTGTTTGTTTGCTTGAGGCTCAGGCTAGCCTCGAACTCCCAAATGCTGGAATTACAAGCATGTACCTCCACACCCCACCTCCAAAGTTTTATGATGCTTTCTGAGTGTGAATAAAGTTACTCAAAGCATCCTATCAATGTCCAGTGAGTGTCCATGTTTCTTTTCCTTTTAACTACATGTAACTCTCATTTATACATCATAGGTGAAAAATTCATTTAATGATCTTTTCATTTCTTTTTGCACATGTTGAGTTTTCATTCATTACTGGACACCCTTCATCTTAATTGCACATGCCTCATCTCCTCTGGACCATTCTTAACTTTTGGTAGTAGCAGAACTGGAGAGGGTCCTCCACAGGAGTTCACCACCGTTGATAACCCTCTAAAATCCTGTGTGTGCCATTGGGCTCAGAGATCACTTTTGTTTTACCCCAAACACAGGTGGTGACTAAATAGAAGGTAATGAAAGAAAAAACAGCCCTGCCCAGAACCACAGGCACAAGTCTTAACAGGGCCCCATGAGAGCAGTCCTGTGGCAGAAGCAGGCTTTCAGGCCCCCACCTCGGCACTCAGCTCACCCTTCTATATGGAAGGAAAATCACACCCAGGAAAGAGGCGCATTCTTCCTTCTGTTGAAATGCCCAGCCCAAACTATTATTCTGAGGAAAGCACTGCCTTTCAAGGCCTTCCAGCTCTTCCTACTGTGGGAACTCAAGCCGTTCTTCCCTCTGCGAACCGGCCTGGGGGAGGAAGGGAAGGGGCAGGTAGCCAAAACCATCCCTGCGTTTCAAAAAGCCGGCCCACCCAGAGTGCCCCTTCTCACCAGATGTGCAGACAGCTGAGAGTGGCAAAGAGAATTCCCGCAGCGAAGGCCAAGGGGATGGCCAGGAACACGGTCAGGAACTTGTAGATCACGTATTTGCTGATTTCAAAGAGGGCATGGCTGCAGATCCACACTTTGTCAAAGGAGTGTGTAGTCACAGGCTCTGCGATCACATCCTCGAAGCCCAGCTGCGGAGACAAGACGCAGGGACACAAACGAACTGTCACTCAACGGGTCGCCCCGGGAACCAGAAAAGCAAGAAGGAAGCATGTGGTTAGTGTCCCCAGCTTTTCTTAGGGTCACGATGGACGCACAGGAATGTGGCTAAGAATTTCTGGCTACACAGGGAGGCTGGTGACGGTGGGACCGGGGCAGGGTGGGGGGAACCCCATGGCAAAGATGGGGTGGGATGGGAGGAGGGACATCTGCATTGCTAGGCCGCGCAGGGACAGCCCAGGTGGAGGCCCGCCCCAGCCTCACCTGGAGATGCGAGTTGATGCGGTGGGGATCCCGATCGTGGCCGGAGTCCACGAACTTCTCCGGATCGGCGTAGTCTACGCCGCCATGGTGGCTGTAGGCTTCCTCGTCCATGAAGAGCTGCACGTCGGCCTTCTCGGTCTCGAGCCCCATGGCGGCGTCGGTGCGCGGAGCAGGCGGCGCGGCTCCCGGCGAGCGCAGCCTCTCCTTCCAGTGCGCCGGGCACCGCCCCGCCCCGCGCAGCCCGGGCGGCGGCCGCTTCCCGCGCGCGGCCCCGGCCACCCGAGCCCCGCCCCGCCACGCCGCGCGGCCCGGGGACTGGCAGGGCACCCCTGACCCAGTGAGTCACCTCCCCGCCCTGCCCGGCTGCTGCATGCCCAGACTGTGATGCTTAGGATGGCAGGTGGTCCCAGCGAGCGTGGATTGCTGGAGGGAGACAGCGGGGTGGTTAACAGTGTGGGCGGGGAATCAGGTCTGCTTGGACCCAGCTGTGGCACCTGCTTTGCAGAATTCTCTTGAAGGAATTAAATGTTAATTCATGCAAATATCTTACATGGTCCCTAACTCCACAGTAAGCTTCTGATCATACTGGGCTCCTGCCCTGTGCAGTAAGGAGCCGCATACACCTGATTACCAGAGGACCCCACAAGCACATCAGCTCTTCAGCTACTCCAGAGCCCACTGAGTGGGCAAGCAGAACCTGCTGGTGAGAACTCTGACCCCAGGAGTTTGCACCTTCCCACTCGAAGGTGGGATCTGTCCTCACCTCCAAACTACAACTCAATTTTCCTTTGAGTCAGATTCTGCTGAAAGATTTCAGGAACCTCTACGGCACAGACACATCTGTAATTACCTTGTAGGAGGAACTCTGCGAACAGAACCCTAACATAAACCCACAGAACAATGGACAAATCAGCCTGCTGACCATCTCTCAAAAGCCTTTAGAAGGAAGAAATTTGCATGCTTATAAAGGGATTAGGGTCTGGTGAGCTCAGATGTGTGTTTGGGGGCAAAGCGACTTACTGAAAATTTGTTTAAAGCAAAATTGTAGTCTTAGAGTTAGGGAGATGCCTGTCACTTGCCCTTCACCCAGGAATCAGTGCCGACCAGTAAGAACTGCCAAATACACTGTATTTGGAACCTGGTGCACATATCAAATTCCCATGTGAAAACTGGATTCAAAGAATTACTTCTTTGGAAAGAAAAAGACTATTTTTAGAATAATAAAAATTACAAAAAGAGAACAGGAACTGAATAGGAAAAATGTTTTGGAGCCATAATTCAATATTTTTAAAAACTAAAAAGTTTACCCACTGGCACTGCAGTGTGTGGATGGTAGTGTCATAGCTATGCAGAATGTCACACTGTTGAGCCTCCCGGCCAACGGGGTCCTGCTTGCCATGCCCTTCTTCCTTACTTTTCTTTTTCAATTTATTTGTGTTTTGTTAAATCATAAATGATTATTTAGACAGTGTACTTACTGCTTTTCAGTACTTAGTAACTCTGCCCTACTTTCTCAAGCAGGCCACTCGCTCGGAATTGGATCTCTGCTAGAATTGCTACCCAGCAACTCTTTCCCAAAGTGAAGAGAAAACAGAAAACCTTAGGGGAATTCATAATATCCAGTACCAGAAAATAGTAATATTTTGTTATTTTACAGATAACATTTTGTAAAAATTACCCTTCCTCAGAACCATAATCCCAGATCTTAAGACATTTCATCCAAAGAAGAAAGTCATTCCTATAGTGCTACAGTGGCCCTACTCAGTGGCTGAAAATGTAGCTAATTATTAGGGCTTCTTTTTCCCCTTCTATTCTTTGTCTTCTGATCACATTTCCAGTTCTAGAGAAATTGTTAAGACATTTGAAAGAGTTATCGCAAGCAATTGGCTCCTTTTTCAGGCAGTAGAAATAGGATGCCAACAAGTAAAATTAACATGGTCTTCACAGGACAGTGTAGATTATAGATTGATTTGTAAGCTGATAGGTATTTATAAAAAGATGCCTCTAAAACCTAAGCTAACTGGAACTCTTCTAAATTTAATGGATATAGCATCAAATTTAAAAAAGGAGGATTCATTTGTTCATTGACTTACAAGTTCTTATTGAATCCCTGGTCTCCTCCATGGGTTGGGTCTGTATGAGGCTCTTATTTTGAAGAAATTCTTGTCCATTTCACCATTTTAATATGTAAGGTTTTTTTTTTTTTTTTTTAGCAGAACTACAAAAATTATTTTGCTTATCCTAGTAGTAAATGCTTACAGCTACTGTTGTTCTCAAGGGCCTAAGTCAGAGTGATTCCCACAGCAAATATTCCCCCATCCTTACTAACTTGAGAGGTATTCCAGTGTTGGAGCTAAATGATTGGGCCTGCCCTAGTATCTCCCAGACCGTAGAGTTTCTCTCCAATGACCTTCCCCTCCCCCAGTTTTTTACATTGCCCTATAACCTAGGCAATTAAAAAATTTTATAATAAATCCATGCAGATCATTCATCCTCTGGCAATTATCATACATCACAGTATCTGACAAGAGGACAGACTTTTAAGTGGATATTAGTATATTTAGGCAATAATGACTTGATCATAGATTAGTATTTGTGAACAGGATAGTTTAAAACCATTTATTTCCTTGATTTTTCTCATCACAGTGACTAAGAAAGTTACTTTTCTTATTTATTGAAAACTGTGTATGAATGATCTTATGAATGAAAATATCTTAATTTTTTCTCAAATCACAAATGTATCATCCTTTATAGCTTACATACAGTTTGAATCAGGGTCTATTTTTCAAACTGCCTTTGTACAAGTTAGTTATTAATAGAAATAATAACTCCTTGGTTTTATCATATGGTTTAATAATATTGAAGCATTTGGGTTGGCTGAGAGTTCCTCAACTTTGACACCATTGATATTTGGGGCCAGATCATGCTTTGGTGAATTGTAGGGTATTTAGCAACACCCCTGGCTTCTACCCCATAGATGCTAATAACACTCCCTAGTTATGACAACCGAAAATGTTTTTGGACATTGCCAAATGTCCCTAGAGCCCAAATCACCTTTCTTCTCCTTCCCTGGGGCTGAAAGCCAATGGATAAGATGCTATAGAACTGTCATGAGAATGGTAAGAATTAAGCTCTGGCTGTACATTTATAAACCCAAGCTTAAGGTAAAGTTAAGGATTGTGATACTAATTTACCAGGGCCTTTGAAGTTAAGCTTTGGATATTTGTCTATCTTTTAAATTTTTCACAAGGGTCAAATATCAATGATTAATTGCTAAATTTCAATGCAATCCTAGTATTAATTAAGGAATGTTTATATTCCATCAAGAGACTGAAGAGAAGCAACTGCCAAGCCCTGTCTGTTTTGCTCCGGCCTCCTACACTTCCCCACAAAGGCCTGGCCTGTTTAAATGTTTGTATCTGGAAAATAATGGATTTGGGACTCCTTTGTTTTTAAGATTCCATTGTAGGGCTATATAAAATTCAGGGATTTTTGACAAACTTCAGCAACTGAATAGCTTTTCCAAATTTTAGGTGACCTTGACTGAGAAATTCATGGACTTGTTAGAGGAAGAGCCAGGCAGTTGCTCTCCAGGTCCTTTAAGGATCTCTTCTCAGGCTTGCTTTCTGTGAAACAAAGATTGAGAAATTCAGAGACACCCATTGCTTCTTGTATGAGCCACTCTCTGTGGGACAGTAGATGCTGCATAAAGAATTCCTTGCATCATTCCCTGTGCTCCACTCCTTCATTCTCATTGCATCTTTACAGCTCCTCCTCACCCAACCCTCACCTTCCAATCTTCCAATCATCCCCATCTCCTGACAACACACAGGTCAGCCCCCTGCCCAAAGTTTAAAGAATCAGATAAAAAATACCTGATATTAATATTATTCAGTAATCAGGTTTGTGAAGTGGTGCTACATAATTGTATTTAATGCAAATGTATTCCTTTTTTTTCTTGCATGCTGTTTATCTTTTTAACCATATTCTGTGTAAAATAAGCCTTGTACCAGTGAGCCAGGAAATTCTAGTTTAATATTAAGGCACAGTAGCTCATTTGTAATTGGTGCCAGCTTAATCTTCTGACTGTTTCAAATAGCACCTCCTTTGGCCAAAAATCTCTCTTCATATACAAGAATTTCCACAATTACCTTGTGTTTGGGAACACTTGGCTAGTAGAAATAAAAGGGGAAGAAGGTACACTCTTGAAAAGTCTGTTTTCATGATTACAGCTGATAGAACTGATCATTCTACTCTCATTGAAAACAATGTATGACAATTAATTTTAGATTTATTTTCTCCTGTTTTCCATAAGTAAAGGATATTCCTGTTTAATCTTTTAAATATGCCATTGATTTCTGTAATAATGTATTTATGAATACAACATCTGTAGGACTTTGATATTTTATCTTTCTGGAACAAAAAATAGGCATTCATTAACTTTTGATGAATAATGACTTTCAAGTGAAACTCTTAATAAGTACAGCTTTTTCTGTATTCAAATGGGAACATGATATCTACAAGGTAGTAAACACTAACCGAAATGTGTACAAGACCCCTAGTTGCTAAAACAACAGATCTAGAGGTTGTTTTCTTGACTTGGAGTTTGATTTGGAGCAAAAAGAATATTATAGCTTAGTATGAAGCCTTTGTGTTCTGTACTAATTTTCCTTTTCATAAATGTTCTTCTACTTTCATTTAGAGTTAATGCCAATTTTTATAAATAACATGGCTAGTCTACATTAGCCAAGAAAAAAAAAGAATGGGAAGAATTTTTTTTTTCTTGCAGGTTTTAGACTCACTATACATTTCTAATAGAAAAATGAGGACACAAGTACAGAATACTTTCCACCTGGGTCTTGTGAATAAGTATTTGTGAGTCTGTCCAGTGACCTTTAATGCTTGAGAGAATCATTTGTGACTTAAGAGCAAAGAGAACCCAAATGTACAAAGCAGATGGAAGACTGAGATGCTGCCAAGGGACTGGCCAGAAAAAAATTCAGATTATATTTTCCTATCAATAAATATCTGGAAATAACTTTATAATTAATAATTTTATAATTTTTAAATTATATCTTTTTTTGGTAAATAGATGACACAAAATTATAGGGCAGATTTCTATAATACATAAAGGTATAAAGTAATTTAGGCAATGTAGGTGTCTATAGCCACTCATTGTGAGCCCTTGAAGCCCAGCTAGGCTCTTACTCTCTGCCAACTGCTTATTAAGTTCTCAATCTCTCATTTAGAACAGCCTGAGGATTAGATCTAAAGGTAGATAAAAAAGAAGTTACTCTATTAAATAAATTATAAGTGGGACTATTGACATTTTTGTGTATCT